CGGACACACTGCGCAGAGGGACGACTGAGCCTCTTACAGTGACTGCGGGGCCTGCGCCTGCTGGAACAGGGCAAAGCTTGCTGGGCACGTCGGTGTCGCTGCTCCTGGCTCAGAAGCTGGGAGAGCATCAGACACTTGGCTACATGAACAGGAGAAACATATTTCCTCACCCGTGTAAGGCCAGCTCCAGCCAACCCCCAGAGCAGTCCCTGTGAGCCCTTCCATTGACTGCACGGACATTGGATTGGGCCCTTCAGCTTTGCACTGGGGGTCGCAGTGGCAAACACAAGTCTTCTGGGCACTGAGTGGGCGGCAGTTTCTCTCCCTACAAACATCCCCATGACACAGAAATACAGTGTGGATGACACTCTTCCACACGGCCACTGACCGAGCGTGGGGAGCACGGCCCCAGTGTTCTCCTCCTTCTCCCCCTCCACTTGGCCGTCCCCCTACACAGCAGCTGTCTGGGCGCTGGCTAGCTGGCAGCATCCCGCTCCCTCTTGACGCCCGTTCTTTCTTCGTGAAGAAGCCAGGCAGTGAGTGATGGCCTGACTCCCCTCTCAGCTTTCTCTGGTTGGGGCTGGGTTTGTGACCCTGGGTGGCCAAGTCCCACTTTGAAGTTGGCTTTTACTCATTGAAGGGCTGATTCTTCATCACCCCCTATGTACCTCCATCCCAGCATACAGGGGAGTTTCAGGTACCGGGGGAAGCCAGCAGAATGTACCCCTGTATTCACACCCTGCACACTACCGTGAGAATTTTTGTACAAAGTATGTCTTGGGAGGTGTCACTAAAAATCTCCTAATTTGCTGCTCATTATTGCCACACATATTTTACCAAGACAACATTGTATGTGAAGTTATAAGATTCCACTATATGGTGGTATTAACAGAAGCTGGCAAACAGGTCTGTTCTCAAACCAAGGAATGTGTGCCCTGTTTAATTTGCATTTAAGCAGTAAACAGAGAAGGATAGGAAACAAAGGACGCTCAAACCGGTGAGAAAAAAGCAGCAGGGAACATCCTTCCCCCGAGACTGTTTGTCTCCTGGTACCTAGCTGGAAATGCTTCTCAAAGAGGTGAAACTATAAAAAGGAGCAAACAGCCCTAGGCACCCGTCCCCCTCTCTCTGCCCATTGATTTACTGCACTTGCAGGGACTAAGGAAGCAGCCGTTGGACTGGGGGAGGGCTCCTGACCTAAGAAGTTTGGCCAGTAAGGCAGCTGAAAGCCTGTGATGAGAGAACTTTGCTTTGAATGTAACAGTTTGCTGAGTGAGGCACCAGTAGCATTTTATCTTTATTTTCCTTGTAACCATTTCTG